GACTGCCATCAGGTTACGAAAGTGGTCATGTGTGCACGGAAGAACCTAGTAAAGCACCGCGTCTAACATGGTCGAAAGTCAGTTAACTACATGCACTTCTTGGTGTCCTCCCTCTTCCCCCCAACCCTCACTGTCTCCTAACTCACTCCCTCCTTACCTCTCCCCTAATCCCACATTCTACTTGCACGAAAAGACGAACTGCAATCGATTTGTCTCAGCACCCACACGCTCTGTTTGTGCCATGTTCCCTCTCAAACAAAAATTTGTCGAAAGTCCGCATATGCTCGTCAAATAGTCTTCTGGATCCTTCCATGGAAATTTCTGCAAATTCAAGTTTGCTTTTATAATAAATCACGGGATACCAGATGAAAGGATAGTCCTCTTAGGAAAGGTCACAGCTAGCCGTCACCTTCGTTTGGACTTTCAATTCTGGGCAGAAGAGGAAGGAGCCAACGTGGTCTACGTCATCGCAGGGTAGCCCATCGCCGGACATTAGTATGACGAAGAGCCCTAAAATACGGTGATATGTTGAAAGTGATTTTGTCGGGCATTGCTGAATACTCGTAAAACCAAGTCTCGCAGAATTCTTAGTTGAATGGCAAAGTTACGTAAATTCAGGCGTACCCTAAACATGAAGTAAAGAGGAAAATTCCTGGTATCCAGAAGGGCGCTCAAAGCTTCGCGGCTGATCTTAAATTTGCTGCCAATCACCTCAAGCCGCCTGACCCAGCCTTTATTAACATTCCAAATGCAGGATGTCCGCGCGAAGCTTTTTCAGGATGTTCCCACCTGCCTATACTTACTTGGTTGGGGGAAAAGCCACAGTTGACTGGAAGCCAAAGCCGAGTCCGATGTCTGGGATGACGGTATGAACAGTTCACTAACTTCTATGAACGAAAACAGCGAGCGACAACATCGTCATCACGGAAATGTAAAGAGTAGTGCCTTTTACTTGTTAAGGGATTGGAGCCAGTCGCTTTGAATATTGTGGCAAGATAGAACAAGTGTACATAGAAAAATACGGCCCTTTTTACTTACACAGGCACTGCGCCAACGAGTATAGCCGAATACTGTCGAGATAAAACCCTACTTAGCACTGCTGAAGAAATCTCGCGGTTTAGGTTAAGCGGACCGTCTCAGGCGGGAAACAAGTACCATAGTGTCACTTTATTAATGCCATGGTACTGTTGCCGACAGCCATCATGGTATATCTAGCGTCACTGTTCAGGACCCCGTTGCGTTAGGGTCATTCACCCTCGCAGCGGGCGGTTCCAGGCGTACTGAATCTCAGCAACTCGACCGACTTCAAATCCGACACGCATGCGTCCCCACAGATTCGCAGCTGCCCATGCGCCACTTGAACAGGCCACTTCCCTGCGAATGCAAAATAGGCCACTTAAACAGCACCCCTCGACAAATGCAACATGCCGACTGGACACCACTTCGGAGTACTCCGCACATCTACAAAACCAGGTGCCACTACTGTCTCGCAGACTCTCAAGCATGAATGGACGCAGTCAAGACCAGCGTTGGCTTCGCCAGCGGCCATTGCCACCTGAGAGGACAAATCAGGGTTCTGCATGCAATCAAACCCCCCTGTCTTTGGATTCGGCTTGAGGATTGTAATGCTCCGAGCTCACATTCACATACTGCTTAGACGCTACTGTACCCTTGATATGAAGTTTTCGTTGGTCACTGAGAAGAGAAGTGGCGGGATATTCTCACTGGCCCCCCTAAGTTCGATAATTCGAGCTGTGAGCACTAATGATGTTAACAGTAATAACAAGCGGCCATCCAAAGAAAGTGGCGCAAGTGAAGTGTTAACTGAACTGTAACATGAGGGTTTGGGGGGAGATCTCTTTGTCCGGAAGCATGAAACTCTGTAACTTAACTTCTCCGGCCTGCCTCGACTTGATACTCGTCGCAATACAGGCGAACAAATGCCGACACGAACCATCTGTGACTGATCTTGGGTACGTCACTGAGGGCAAACGGAAGAACATACATTCTCACTAACGTTAGAAGGGGCCGGATCTTTCAGATTCTCTTTGCCATGCTACAAGAAAAGGAAATATCAAAATTCTCGGTGGTTTTTTCTGATGATAGGTTCATTAGAGAATCCAAAGCGTCAGTCAAATAACTTCCCTGTTCCAGCGATCGCATCTGCCTCTTCTCAACGTGTGGTAGGTCAGTCTCTAAATCCAGGAAGATTCTCGGTAGACTGTGCGATTCCACGTGGACTGGCCGAAACACTGGCAACCTTACAAAGCTGCCCGACCTCTTACGTTGTTTATGAGGCAAGGCCTAGGCTTGGGGCTCTTACTCCTGCAAGCCTAGAAGTTCAGCTTAGTCTACTAGGAATTCCTCGGTGGACCAGAAGTTAAGTGCGAAGGAGTGGATTCAGAAGGCGCGTATACTTTTGACTGAGCGGGCTCCCAAACCATCTATATGACGTAAAGACGCGCATAGATTTCTCGAAGGCTTCCAGATCAACGGCTTGCTGACGGACCGTTCTTTGGCTATATTGTTGCTAGTGGTCAGCTTCAGCTGAGACAATACGGGGAATAATCCATTCAAGTGCCTCAGCATCGAGTAAAGATCTTGAGAAACGTTAACACAACATTGATTGGAGCGATGGCCTGGCTATAGAACAGGATTGACAACCATGCAGACGTCAGGTTTGGAGGAGAGTAACGAATAACGACAGAAGCACAATTACTATCGATAGACAAAGTCAATTGGTAAGTCATCATTGCCAGTTCTAGCTCGAATTTTGTTTAGGCATGTTGACCGATTCCCATGCATTATACCAGTAACGCGAACAGATAACATAACAGTTCGACTCGTTTTTGAAGATGTCCACCGCGTACCGACATGGAAGTGTGGACGTAGGGACGGTGACCGGTGCGTGAATGTGGTTATAGTGATAGGAGACTTTCAAAGCATCTACCGCATCCTCTCCTACTCCCCCACGTGGGCTCGATGTCATGACAGGGTCAAAAAGACCGGAGGCGCGAGAGGGCGCAAGTGGGTGGCACGACGTGAGCCCACGAGGTGAGGGACAACACACCCACTGGTCCAAAATTTACAAATGCCCACTATTTTACACAGCAAGCAAAAGGGACGAAGGCAAGGGCATAGTTATTGACCGGGGTTACTTAATCCGGTGAGCAATTGTGCTAAAAGAAGAGAACTGGCAATAATTATTCGTTAGTGCCAGAGAAAGAAATAAGAAGACCTCGCGGTGGTTGTTGCGTAAGAGGGGTCAAGGTAGTCATCGGAACAAAATTACGACAATACAATACCTTTCTGATAATACCAGCATAGGGGCATTAAATTCATTTAATAATAAACTATAGTGGTAAAAGTGGTGTCCCCTTTTAATCGGCGACAATATGGAGGACCAAAATGTTGATGCCACAAAGTTCTTAGATGCTCACTTCTTTTTCTCAACATAAATGCTCCCCGGAGTAGGTAACCCCGGCCATACATCATACGCCTACCGGGGCCGACTCAAATTCCAAATGAGTAAGAGTGCCATAAAGGTCACTCTTCATTGTGAGAAGTAAACCGAGTTATCCCGTTATTTGGCAGCCTTCTGAGTCACGACTTTTAGAGTACCCTGACAGATCCAAGCGCATCAGATTATTTATGATGAGGCATACGTGCTGAGACCGTCGAATCCCTCGGTCTATCCGATCCTGTGCACCAGTCAACTGTCTGAGTAGGTCAGTTGTCTGATGTGGATAAAGGGTCTAGTGGCTGGCAGAGCTAGAGGGCCCACATACGTGCGCCACATACACGACCTGGCCCACAAAACTCAAATACCAGTATTGCACACAAAGGTGTGGGCGGCTCAGATTTCACGCGCGTTACAGTAGCAGAGGGGAGAAACAGGGAAGGAATCGAAGAGCACTGTTTTCACTTGTGTGAGAGGTGCTGATTCTGTGCATGTGAGGGACGGGTTCCTATGTGGTGTATGTGCTGGTGAGGCGATATGTAGTGACGGGGTTTAACCGACGGCGTTTTACCGAAGGGCTTCATGGATGAGTACGTGGTCAAGTAGGGCCGTGCAGTGACTGACAGTGGGAGGAACGACCACCCTGTCTGTCGCGGGGCCTCAACCACCGCCCCAGGACTCTACGCCTGCCTCCTCTAGAACCAATTTCACCACCACTGCCAGCGCCCACGCTTCCCCAATGACCAACTGCCACGAAATGGGGAACAAATTGCGCGAAGAACTACACGCAATCCTGGTGACTGCTCCAAAGGCGGGCAAGCTGGTCGACCCTGGTAAATTTAATGCATGCGTCAGGACAGACCACGCTGCCTGGAGGGGAGTGCTGGGCCAACATGGCATCGGCACCCGCAACGAAAACGACATTCTCCTGTGAACCTGCAAAGAACACAGCTTGCTCCTGACCAACACCTTCTTCCGCATTATGACGCAGGAGAAGGCAATCAAGATGCACTCCGAATCGCGGCGCTGACAGCCACCGAACCATGTTTTCGTCCGGAGGCAAGATTGTAGCGGCTAAGCCATGAGAATGTACTCAGAACGCTACAATCATCAGGACAAATCGCGAGCTGTAGAAGATAGAAGTCATCAGACTGAGGGATTTATTGTATACAGAACTTTGCTTTTTCCTCTCAGGTAGCAATTGCCGCTGGCGAAGCCAGCGCTGGTGTTGACTGCGTCCAGTCATGCCTGAGAGTCTGCGAGACAGTGGTGGTACCTGTTTTTGTAGATGTGCGGAGTACTCCGAAGTGGTGTCCAGTCGGCATGTTGCATTTGTCGAGGGGTGCTGTTTAAGTGGCTTATTTTGCATTCGCAGGGAAGTGGCGTGTTCAAGTGGCGCATGGGCAGCCGCGACTCTGTGGGCGCATGTGCTGACGACTGGACCGACCACCGCCTTGTCATCTCGAGGATGAGGCTCAGACTGCAGCCTCTCAGGAGACGACAAGGTAAGCGACCACCAGGTAAGTTAGATACTGTTCTGATGATTTTGCCTGCACACAACTTTGATTTCAGCGATCCACCGACCCAGCGATTAAAAGACCTGCAAGGTCCAAATGAAAACTCCACCGTGGAGACTCGATGGTGTGAACTGCTGGACGATATGCGCCCCACTACCCTGGACGTCCTTGGGCGCGCCCGTCGTCAATACCAGGACTGGTTTGATGACGACGATGCAGACAACAACGAACTGCTCACTGAAAAGAACGGACTGCATAAAGTCTACATTGACCGTCAGACCGACGCAAACAAAGCGCCTTTCTTTAGATTTTGCCGTTTTGTACAGCAACGACTGCAGGAGATGCAGGACGCCTAGATGGCTCGCTAGACAGAGGAAATTCAGGGATATGCGGATCACAAGCAAACAAAGAAATTCTTCGCATAAATCAAGGCGGCCGAAGGCTCCATGACAATAGGAACTGCGTCATTCCTCAGCTTTGACGAAGCAAAATTCCTCGCTGAAAAATTGTAAATTCTGAAGCGCTGGGCCGGGCAGTTCAGAAGTGTCCTCAACCGCCCATCCACAATCTCCAGCGCCGATATCGACCGGCCCCCAAGTGGAAACGAACAACAACTTGGACCTCCCGTCTTACCTCCCTGTAACCATTTGAGCTATGCAACAACTATCCAGCGGGAAAGCGTCAGGCTCTAACACGATCCCGACTGAAGTTTACAAGCACGGCGACCCCCGGCTGATGGACAAACTTGTGACGCTATTCCAGGAGACGTGGCGTCAAGGATAAGTTTCCCAGGATTTCACTGAAGCGAGCATCTTCTTTTTCTAAAGGCAGGAAGGGGGCCGGCAATTCTGTGGGATCTCGCTGCTAAACATCGCCGGGAAGATTTTCGCCTACATCCACCTAAACCGTCTCAGCAGTCGCCTCGAATGGAACCTTCTGACAGGAAGTCAGTGTGGCTTCGGGGTCATCGCGGAACCACTGACATGGTCTTAGCTTCCCAGCAGCTAAAAGAAATGTCAGGAAACGCGGATCCCCCTTTACATTACCCCTATGGACCTGACGAAAGCCTTCGACACGGCGAATCGCGATGGACTGTGGAAAATCATGCAGAAATTTAAATTTTCTGAGCAGCTTACGCACATGGTGCATTAGCTCCACAGTGGGATGATGGTGCGTCATACGGAAAACAGGACTCTCTCAGGGACATATTCAACGACGAACGGAGTGGAACGGGGCTGCGTACTCGCTCTCATTCCCGTGAGACTTATGTTCTTTGTGAGGCTGATGGACGCCTGCTGCCATGAGCGCCCTGGGCCCGCATCCTACTTTGCCGACGACCATCCTCTCGATAGTCGGCGGATGCACGCCCAACGCGTCTCTTCACGACCAGTGTCCAGATCCTGCTCTTTGAGGATGACTGCGCGCTTACTACTGAGACAAACGCGAATGTACAATGGAGCACCAGTTTCCTTGCCTCCGGTCGCGCTAACTTCAGGCGGAACATCAACACGGAAAAAAGGGTGGTCAGAAAGCCACAGTCGCCCAAAACTGATTACACCGTTCCTCACACCGCTGCCAACGGTACCCGATCGAAAACCGTGGAAAAGTTCGCCTACCTAATCAGCGCCATCTTAAAAATACAAAAGTAAACGACAAAGTGGCCACCCCGGTCTGCAAAGTCAGTAGGCCTTTCGGTCGACCTCAGGTCTCCGTCTAGAACCGACACAGAATTCGACTCAGCACGAAACTAAAGAAATATATGGCGGTAGTCCTGACAACGTTATTAAACGAGGCGAAGACATGGGTGGCCTGTGCAAAATAAGCCAGAAAACGCAATCACTTACAGTTCAGCTGTCTGAGAAGAATACTAATGCTGATGTGGTAAGACAGGATCCCGAAACGGGATTTCTGGAACGGGCCAGAAGCATAAGCCTCCATGAATTCTAAGGCACCTGCAAATTCGATGGAGCGCTCACCCACTGATGATGGGCGATTACTGAGTACCCAAGTGACTCATCTATGGAGACGTCGGCACAGGTATTCACCGATAAAGACGAAAATGACATCATAAGAACACTTTGAATACCTCTCTCAATAAACTGTAAATCAACCCGGAGGAGTTGAAAGACCTCTCCCAGGACCGACCTGCCTGCAGAAGAGCAGTAAAAAATAAAGCAACAATCCACGAAACCAACCCGATGACCGCTGCCGAAGCCAAGAAGGTGGCCTGCAAGTCTTAAGCGTCCCCGACCCGTAATGCCAACACCAACCTTATCTGACATGCCCACGCTGCCGACGAACGTTCCGCGCACGGATCGTCCTCGTTGGACTTCCCGGGGCCCAATGCGACAACAACCGGGCAATTACACCTGCCGCCTCTACAAATGCTTTATCACCACTCCTGTACCAAC